GGGAGCGACGCGCAGCAGCTCTTTTTGAGTGTAAGCAATAAAGTATTGCCCTCACTCAGACTACAACGCGCTTAAGAACAAAAATGGAAGCGCTTTTTGATGAAGCTGGTCATTTTTCCAAAGAGGATTCGTGACCTCCCATGCAAGTGTCGTGTTCCGCATTGAACACGTGAAGATATGGCGATTTTGTTTAGAAAATTACTGCCCACTTATCCTGTGTCGCTCTGCTAATAGAATACCTTTGGTTGGCAGTAAAAATAATATCTTCGAAATTACGTTCGTTCCTTCCAGATTTGGACGTCTACCCAACCTCGACCCTTATGGGCGACATTTATCATTCATAGCGTATTATCTGATCGACATCTTCCTTATCGTTACGAGTGTTGTTATTGTTATTGCTTTCGTCGTTGTTATGTTTATTAGGCGGTGTTCTTCCTGGCGTAGAGCTAAAAGCAAGAAGGAATAGGTTTATCTACTGATTTGTATATGGAAACGACCTCGAATGAGAGGCATCAATAAATATAGTTCTTTGGTAGTTTGGTAGGTAAAAGTCAACCACCACTCCCACCACTCCTAAAAGGCCAAAAAAGGTGGATACGTCCCCCCCCCCTTTTACAACGTCCGTGAAGCGAGAAAAATCGACAATCAAAATAAAATCACCTCGGCCCAATACGACTTACCCCTCCTGGGGGCCAAATACGACCCCTTTATTGTATTGGGGATTCCCCAACAACGATGTGCCGTGCTCCCCAAATTGTCGAGGTTGCACGAGTGCAGTCGCTCCAGTGCCGGGGCACAATCAGAGAGGATGTGACCATTCATAGAAGATGATGACTTGAATTTGTTCCTGTGAAGCTGACATGGGATGCTATATACAGGGGGGGGCCAAAAAAAAGTCATTCCGGCCGAGTCACATATGAGCGAAGTTTTCGCAGCCCAGACAGAGGAAGTGGATATGAGTACCAGGGCGGAAGATACCCAAGATCTTCCTCTATAAGCAGGAGCCGGCTGCCGCCATTCACCTTCATGTACACCAAAATATGAAGTCATCTCCAGTCGCGGCCTGAGTGGAGAACGCCTTTGGAATTCACGTGGACAACGCCTTTGCGGAATTCCACGTGACCTCCAAACAGCTGCGGAACTTCTTGAATGGAATCACCCATGGATAGCTACCTGGAGACCAGTTACGATCTGCAAGACCTCCAACATCGAGCAGCTCCGGGCAACGTCGCTACGGTCTAGGACATCATCTTCACCCCCATTCAACCAAGGCCGGTGTTCCGTGATGTTGTGCGACGGCCGTAGCCTGGCGCAATGGAAAGACCGATCATTTGTTCTTTGTAGGCCCCTACTGCTGAAGGTGAGCGCTGGCGGTTACATCAAGTAACTCGAGAAGGATATCCTCCCTACATGTGGTCGCCCGTACCTTCTTGGAGACCTTGTGCTGCTACAGGTTCTGCGGTGCCACTACATGGATCGAAGGGTTTTGGAAAAACTCCCGCCTACTTCGAATGGAAGGGCGTTTCGTACCTGATGAAGATGTAATATTGAAATATGTCCCCTGACCTGAACCCACTCAAATTACCTAGTTTCGGGCGGGGCTCAACAGGGTGGTCTACAGTGGCGGAGAACTCAACGGATACTCGGCCCCACTCCCGCCGTATCCACTCACTTTCGCGCGCGGCCGAATCTCTCGATGGCGCTCCTCCAGAAGGCTGTGGCGGAGTATCATTATAGTATTTAATGTGCTCTTTAATGGTAGTAAAAATGTCCGATAAAAATTTAATAAAGTGTAACTTATAGCGCCTTGAAAGTCATGGAGGCAAAATGACCTTTTTTTTGCCCCCCCTGTAGTAATATTATTAGGTTGTCCGGAAAGTTCTTAGCGTTTTGGGTGTTTCACTTTAAACGATCGTAACTTTTTAATACTCATCGGATTTAATCGAAATAGGCACCATTCGAATCAGCACACTTTTGCCAATGTGACAGCAGTCGAGAAATCCCATAAAAGGAAAAACTGGGTGGTCGAGAATCCACGAAATCTACGAAGGTCTTTTTTGCCTGGTCTTAATTGAAGAAGTATTTTTCAGCAAGGAAGTTCTGAAAATGTCTGAAAAGGTGACAGTCGGTTGGTGAAAGGTCTGGAGAATATGGTGGGTGAGGTAGAACTTCAACCCTCAATTCGTTCAATTTATGGATAGTGATTTGTGAAACGTGTGGGCGGCGTTGTCATGCAAAAGAATCGGACCCTTTCTTTTGATAAGTGTTGCTGCATCTGACAAATACTGTTGCGGGAACAGTTGGCGATCGGTTTGTTCACAGTGAGCGCTCTGCTGTGATGGTTTGGCCTGGCGATAAAAAGTTATAGTGGATTACAACAGCCGATGACCACCAAACCTGACCAGAATTTTTTTTCGTGAGGGTTCGGCTTTGAAAATTACCTCGGTGGTTCCTCCAAATCCAACCACTGTCCGGAACATCTCCTGTTATCATACATGATCCATTTTTTCATCACAGGTGACAAATCGGTTCAAAAACGGGTCAATTCTTTTGCGCAAAAGCAGCGAAGAAGGAACCTCGAGACGTGCCGATTCCTGCCGGTCACTCCGATTGTGGGGCACCTAATTGTCGGGTTTTTTCACCTTCCCAATGCGTTTCAAACAATCTACAACACTGGATTTGCCAACGCCTAGCTTTTCTGCAATCTCTCGAACTGTTTGGGATGGGTCAGCCTTCAAAATCTCCTCAAAATCCTCGTCAGATATTGCTTTAGGTCGACTGCCATGAGGTTCATCTTCAATGCTGAAATCTCCTGAACGAACTTTGTTGAGCCATTGCAGCACAGTGCTTTCTCAAGCACTATTGGGCCCCCACACCTGGTTATAAATTTGCCTGAGATGTTTCTCGTTGCGGATTGCCCCCATTTATTAGTCGAAGAGAAAAAAAATCGTCCGAAGTGCTCTTTTCACATGTTTGAAAAAAATCTTGAAAAAAAGGGAGTTCAATAAGCAATGGTGAAACGGCAATTATACCATCAGATAGCGCAAGAAATTCTCTACAGGATTGGCTACTGAGAAGCAAGGCAGAAAGAGTTTTTAAACAGCAGTGAATGTACAAAAAATAGGTGCACAAAACGCTAAGAACTTTCCGGACAACCTAATATATATATATATATATATATATATATATATATATATATATATATATATATATATATATATATATATATATATATATATATATATATATATATATATATATATATATATATATATATATATATATATATATATATATATATATATATATATATATATATATATATATATATATATATATATATATATATATATATATATATATATATATATATATATATATATATATATATATATATATATATATATATATATATATATATATATATATATATATATATATATATATATATATATATATATATATATATATATATATATATATATATTATATCCTGTTGTGATTTTTTTCTTTTTTATTTTCTAACTCAACATGAAATAAAAACTAATCAATAATATAATCGCCATTGTTAGCCACTACAGTGCTCCACCTAATGGGCAACTCAGCTATCCCCTTCTCCCAGAACTGAGGAGGCTGCGAGTCGAAGAAGTGGGCCAACTTTCGTCGGCAAATCTCGATTGATGCCATCAAATTCGCTGAAGGTTTTCTTACCTAGGAAAGCCTTGAGGGAGCGGAACAAGTAGTAGTCGGAGGGGGCTAGGTCTGGAGAATATGGTGGATGGGGAACGGTCTCCCAGCCTAGCTCCTCAATTTGGCGGTGGGTCTCTTTAGCCACATGTGGTCTGGCGTTATCATGGAGGAGGTGCACCGAAGCTCGTCTCGGCCGCTTTTCTCGAAGAGCTTGCGCGAGTTTCTGGAGTTGGGCGGCGTAAACGGTAGCGGTAACCGTATGCCCTTGCGGAAGCAGCTCGTGGTGCAGCATGCCCTTCGAATCCCAGAAGCAGCAGAGGAGGACCTTCTTGGAGTGCAGGTTCGATCTGGGTTGCGTAGGCGGGTCTTCTCCTCGAGGGAGCCACATGGCACGACGTAGGTTGGAATCATAGAGGACCCAGCTTTCATCTCCAGTCACAATATCTTCCAGAAACTCCTTCCGGTTACGGTGTAGAAGGAGGGATCGACAGATGCTCACCCTGGCATACCCGCGTGCATGCTCTGTAGAGCATTGAGAGATATCAGGTCGACACCTCCCCCCGTCGATGGACCTTTTCTGTAGCAGCCACAGGGCTGAAGGCCGTTTAACGCGTTGTCTCCGCCTAGGCAACCCCTCCTTGTCGCAATACTGCGCGTGGTAGCCTCTGGATCCTCTCTGACAGGTTCGAGAACGGCGGAATCTTCTACGCCGCGAGGGCGTCCCAGACGAGGTTTGTCTTCGAAGATCGTCTCTCCTTTCGCGAAGCGAGCGAACCAACGGTGGACAGTCCTGACGGTGGTGGTGTCCTCCCCCAATGCACAGTTGATGTTACGGGCCGCTGCCGTCGCTCCAGTGCCGCGGCGCCACTCATAGAAGATGATCACTCGAAGCTGCTCCAGTGAAACTGACATCATAAATAAACACAGGGAAGAGCAGGAGCCTTGATATACCTCTTGTGGAAAAGCTTCGAGAATGTTCTACAACCTTAGCATGTTACGTCATGTTCGAGCTTCGAAGATCAAAAACTGTAGGCTATCTAAAAAACACTGACAGGACTTTCTTTCCAACCTATATATACAGGACAAAAATTTGAGGTGTCCACATACTTTTGTTACGTTTGTATATACACAATATGGCTTCCAACAGGAAGCCGCCTAGTTAGTACAGAGAATTAGGAAAGTGAAGAATATTGTTGAGGTGATATGGTGCCAAGTGGTGCCTGAATAGCCTGTTTCGTTAAGAGGCCTTCTAAGAAAACAAGAATGCTGTTTAATTGTGAAAAGTGTGAAAAGAAAGTGCGGTCCTACGTTTGATGCAGTAATGGTATACAGAAGTACTGGCGACGCTTTTGGCAGTATTTCAAATCAAAGCAAAAAAAGGTTTGGTGATTTAAGATTCGAAAGGGGGAAGCCACACAAACGCCTCTCATAGTAAGCATCTAAGCGTGTTGTTGACCGAAAGAATAGCCTCTGAATCCCCCTTGATGATCTTTTTTTAGAATTTTTCGAGCAGCTATTCAGTCCCCCCAGCAGAAAAGGAGAAATCCTAATAATTCCCCGGAGAGTCCGATCCTCGGAATCAGGCAAAGGCTTCTATCTATGCTTACTCTTACGATGCATATAAAGTCGTGCCCTATGCAATTGCTAGGGCGACTGAAAGGGCGAGGACTCGAGCCCAGCGAAAACAGACTCTTCAGTTGCTGCTGACTCAGGATGGCAAAATTAGCAAGAGAAAGGGTCTCGGTGACTCTCCAATCCACGCCCTTCCTACGCCCTACCGCTTGCAGGATCATGGCTCAATCCAACAAAAGTTGGAGCTATCAAGTTCTTATGTGTTGAATTGATTACCTGAAGCATTCCGAATACGGATGGTTCCATTGTCCACATTTTGCTCAGCATATCATTTTTATATTGCATCATGAGACGGTTACGTGGATCCGCTGGGGTTTTGATGACTTTTTTGGTCAGCTTTACCCCCGTTTTATTTTGCTGCTCCTCATCCATTACTGGCATTAATACAGTCTAAAATATGATTTTTTCAGAAAATACTCCAGGAAGCTCGAATCCTTTGAAGGCAGTTGGCATGGGCATGGTGAATTGGCCGTCGGCCTAAAATAATAGCAGGGCCTCCTATATAGTGGGAAAAGAAAACGGCCAAAAAAAACGAAGTGAAACGGTCAAAAACCTGCTAAGAAAAGCCTTCGTTCCTAATTGCTCGAAAAGGAGTTTTGGACGAGTTGCCCGTAGGCATCTTGCCGAAGACCGCTGGACGTTCGGGCCGGTATGTTGAAGCTTTATGGGGCCTTACAAGGGTACCTTTCGGGAGAGGCACTACACAGGACCTACTCAGAATTGCAGAATTCCGTCCTGCCGGCTTATTAATTCTTCTCGTGATAGGGGATTCATCGTGCAAACTGCCTATAAGATCAAGCGGTAGTAAGTAACAACGGTGATCGGGACAATTCAAGTCTTCGTTTTCATATGTAGACAGTTCCCACGTGAAGTCTCATTCGTGGTCCTAACTGAGTCGTCCTGACCAAGCGCATTGAACACCTCCTTCGAGCCTCAGGTAAAGAGCCGAGCCTGAGCGTGGTTTCTTCTTCCGACGCAAACTGGTCAGCTTTACCGACATTTCACGCTGCTATGAATCAGCAGTAACAGAAGACAAATGTAGTGGTTTCCTTCCTCCTCTCCACCCAATCCTTCTACTTATATTTACCTATTTATTTATTAAGTTACTCTCTGAGACTTACTACATCATGTCCAGCCTCCGTGAGGGTGTCAGCAAGGGTGCCCATGAAGTTCGTATGCGAGTAACCAAATAAGGGAGAGTAGACGAGGAATTTGTAGGCATCAGTAGAGCACAGTGAGATCGTTACCGAAAGTACCCAGCAAAGGTACATACCTGAAAAAGTTGTGTATCAAAGCATCATTCATTGACCTTTTTCTAGTGAGCAATGTCTTTTGAGGCGAAATGTTGATTTTAAAAGAGGTCTGTGAAGTGTGTTAGTGATGGCTATGTGCAAAAATCATTGTATTTCTGAAGGTAATAGGATTGTGTGGAAATTGACGAATAAAGAAATCGAGCATATGCATGAAAGCTGTCCTCGAGGAAAAAGCAGGGCAGAAATTGCTAAACCTCAAGCAGCATGAGACAATTTTCTGAAAGTGACCGCTTGCACTATCTTATACACCTATTTGGTTTCGCGATAAGAGATGTGTCACATGGGCACGAGTTTCAGACTAGAAAGGGTACTCGAATTTGGTTGAGAGGGCTGAGCATAAAAGCAATGTCAGATTGGTTGGGAACTTTGAAGGCCTGGTGGGATTGCGTTCCAAGCCACGCAAGTTGTGAAGCCCTTTTGCAGATTTTGTAAGCAGGGTACAGCATCGCTGTACAAATCCCATCGGGGGTGTACTTAGCCGCTGGGGAGGGGGGAGGTGCAGGGTTGGCGAGCATTAAACATCACAAAAGTGTCATCGCTAAATTCGATGATGCGGACAGAAAGCGCAGAGAGCCCGGATGTAAGGAAGACTACAATATTATAATAATTAATTAGTATTATTAATAGTTAGCATGAACTCGTAGGTACTTAGATGGCTAAATAATAACTCTCGAACAGATTCATGCACTTAAACACTCCTTTCGACCTAAACAAACATCTGCTTGCATGGACAAAAACACCTAAAATCAGAAGTTACACCTTTCCACCTACTTCTGCGTAGAACCGTAATGCACAGCGTGCTGTTTTGAATGCATATTGAAGTTCCCAAATGAGTCTTCTAACAATGGCACAGAAGGATTGGAGTGGAGTGAAGTGGCTCAGAATATCGCCCAAAGGTGGCCCATCTGAAATACCTTCTGCCGAGTTTGTTGGAACGAGGAAATAGTGGAGGTTCCGATGGTATTTAATTTGTAAGGGATCAGGATCTATGGAGGTGAGTGTGCAGTTTGTCTTGGCGGGCGAACCAAAATAGGGTGCAGACGTGCGGCAAACCAACACAACAATGCGCTTCCGGCCATAAACCTCCAAAGATTTGCTATCTGTGCGAAATCGTCCAACCCTTCTATTTATTTCCTTGCAAATAACGCTAAAGTCAAATGACTGGAAGGAAAGGAAAAGAACATCTGACTATTTCCGAAATGGAGTATTCTCCACTCTTCCAGTGACATGATCTCCAACTATTAGGTTGTCCCAAAAGTTCTGGGACACTTTCAAATTTTTTTTCGAATTAAGTTTATTCCAGGAGAAGGAATATGTAGTGCTTTCTGGAGAGACGAATCATTGAAGGATCCGATGGCGTTTTTTGTTTTGCAAAAATTGTTTGAAAGAAGTTATTCTCGTCTGAAGCATAAAAACCCGCTCGCGATTCACCACTAACGCGTCCGTAACCCATCCGAAATATTTCACGAGCAGGGTAAGATTCAGATTGCTAGTAGGCACAGCACGCAGCACTAGGGCTTCAAAATGCAGCCTTCCGTTTGTCAAAAGCCCCACACCTGAGAAAGCTATCAGCCTCAGAAATAGCCCGCGATTTCCACCCGCTAAATCTGTGGGCCAGTGCTCTACCGCCAATTTGCCAATAACAAATGGAATTTGGAATCACACTGCGGCCGCCAGCGCTTGCGAGTCGTTACGTGTTTAGTCCTTCTCGTCAGAGCAAACAATTAGAGTCGGAAAGGGGGTGGGGTCGTACCAGGATCCTTCGCCGAGGGGGGGTCTTATTGACACCGTAATTCCACACATCACGATGCTGATCCTGCATGCAATTAAAAATCGCATCTGCTCATCCCATTCAACATTGACTTTTCTGTCCTCTATAATCTCCAAGGTCTAGGACTGAAGCTGGTAATTCATTGACCAAGCTTTGTGTTGGCTGTTCTTTCGAGATACACCTATAGAATAGAGGGAAATTTTTTTCAGGAGGAATGGCTACTAATGGTGATCAAATGGGTCTCGTCGATCGCCTAAAAAACTTCGCCGAGATGATCATGGCACAGAAACTTTTTGGGGATTTGTTCACAAAAGAAATCCATGTCTTCAAGGAAAAGTTCGGCCCAAAATTTAAGAACTATGAGGTTAGCTCAAAAGATGGTTCAGCAACCGCAATCTCCTTCCACGCTAGTAAGTCTCTTCCGAACGAAATGCTTCCAACTTCATGGAACGTTACTGAGATGAAAAAACAGCAGGTCTGCAGATGAGGGCTTCTTAACACTCAATGGTGTTCACAATTAAAAACTCACAATCAATCTTATATCTTTCCATCGTTCTTGGTTTGTGAATCTTGGAAGAAGAAAACACGCATGGATGAGGAATTTTATTCCTTAGCAGCAGTTTTTTCTTCGAAAGAACTATGTTGACCATGCTTACCCTAGAATGAATGATGGTTAGCAGTCCCCTGATAAATACCTTCAGTTAAAATTAGAACTTTGTTTTGTTTTTTCATGAGCAATTACCAACAAATCGCTCAAAAATCTTCTTGCTAGGAAATTCTCGCTGATACGACGTATGTGTTCACGAACTCAAATCCATACCTGGACTATCCTCGTCCTATGCTCCATAAAACTGTACCTATTGGTGGAATCGCTGTCCATATTGATCCCAAGAAAAATGAGCTGTCAAAGGTGCAAGTGGTGTCAGTCCTTCCATTCTGCTTTCAGCTTTCTT